GGCGAGAGTAGCTGTCGGCCAGCGCCGACCCGCGCGGACCCCGCACAGGTGACTTCGGCACTGTTCGGATGTCCGGCCGGTGACTGCCTCCGCCACGCCAAGCCACAGCACCGCAGCACACCGCCCATGACTGTCGCTCTCTCTCGCACACCTCAGGCAGCGGGCGGAGCCCGCCCGCCCATCGCAGATCTCTGGTAGCGGCTCGAGCAGCGGACCTGCCTGGTGGCGCGGGTCCGCGGAGGGGTGCGGAGAGGACCCTTCGCGACGACGCCCCCTCATCCTGCTCCCCCTTTCGCTCCTTCACCCTACGCCCCGCCGCCGCCGCCGCGCCGAAACCCTATCCAGTTCGAAAAAGTGTTTGGCAATAAGAGAAAGAAAAGTTGCACAGTAGTATGCCCTGCTCCTCCTCTCTCTCTCCCTCTCTTCGGCGATATGGGGGAGGCTAGGAGAAAGTTTCTCTCGCGTCGCCGTGATATCTCTGCCGCTTCTGCCCCCGCGCGGCCGCCCTCCTGAGGGCGTGGACGGGGTCGGGGGGCACGGGGGACGGCTCCGTGTGGGCAGCGCGGCTACAGCGCAGCGGCCGGTGCCTCTGCCTCGTGTCCTGAGCTCGCCCGCACCGCACATCCCCCATATCTCCCCCGAGCCTTGGTCTGTATACGCAGTGCGTGCGCCACAGGTCCCTTCTGTTTGCCTCGAAGACGCCCGTGTTTGCGCTGTGGTGCGGTGCGGCCGAGCGCCCGAGACCAGCCCGACCAGGCAGCCAAAGTTTTTTGGATGAGGGGAGCGAGATTTCTGTTTCCACTTGTGCGGAAACGAAGTACAGTACGCACGGTGGAGGCCGCGACCCCCGCTCCCTCCCAGCTCTCTCTCTTATTTTTACCTTGTTGAGCGGGGACGTCCCCGGCCGGGGCTTCCGGAGCCATATCCGATTATCAGACTCCTTTTCTTTTCTCTCTCTCTCTCGGGCCTCCTTGCTCTCGTCGTCCCGCTCCTTGCACAGCGCAATCTCCCCTTGAAAAATTGGAAAGGAAATCAGAAACCCCACCACCGGGGGCTCGCGGGGCCAGGGAGCCGGGTGGCGCGGGGCTGCGGAGCCGCGGAGCCTCCGGCGGCATGCCTCCGGTGACGTCCTCCTCCGGAAGGAGGGGCAGGGTGGCCGCCGCGCTGGTGCTGCACCACCCCCGCGCGGGGGAGGCTGCGCCGCCGCGGTGCAGCCCTGCGAGGGCTCGCCGAGGGGGTTGTGAGACTCCTGACGCCGCCGCTGATGTCGCGTGCCAAATGAAGGCTGTAATGGAGTGGCTTGGCGTAGCGGGACCGCCCGAGGCCTTCCCCGCCCTGCAGCCGGCGCCCCGCCCCGCCCCGCCCAGGCTCACCCCTGCCTGTGCCTGCACTTTGGAGGGGCTGCATCGCACACCCCGGGTGTACCCAAACTGGTCAAACGGAAAACTGGTCGAAAGCAGAGTTTTGGAAAGTGGTCGAGGAAACTGGTCGAGAAAACTGGTGTCTTGAAACGTGCATCCATCTTTCATTTTGAAAAAAGGGAATCAGTGTAATTCCTACTCAAACATAAACAGTTTCCTGTGCACGGAACGCAACAACAGCCAACATGCCCAGGGAGGGAAGTCTGAGGCGAGCTTCGGAGTCTCCCCGAGTGCAATCCGGAAGTGACGTCATAAAATGGCCCTGCGAGTGAAGTATACTCTCGACTCCGATCGCCCTCGCGATAGCTCGAAGTCTTGAAGGGTGTAGTGCAAATAACGGTAGTGGATCGTGACGTCATTGATCGTTTGATGTCATTTGAATCGAGTATGAGGAGTTTTCGTTGCCTGTCTGATGTTATTGATGTTATTCGGATTTTATGATTTTATGTGAACTTAAGAATAGTGTTTGAATTTTCGTCGTTGTTGTTTAGATTGTGAAAGATAATCATCCAAAACATTCATGTCTCATTCGTTTGGCGCGAACTCATGGTCATGGACATACGGTGATCGTTAAATCCACTTGTTTTGCTAACTAAGCAATGTTGAGTCGCATTGAAAGTTTATGTGATTCTCGTAGGAATAGTGAAAATCGTAATGGTACACTAACCACATTATATGGTACGTAAGATGTTATTCAAATCTCAAGTTTTATGAAATCTCATAACCTCTATATCCCATCTCTTGTAACATGCTATTTACTTCTGATCACAATATTTCTGTAATTGTTTTATTTTTTTGTCCAAATTAGGACAGGTCTACAATTTTCTATAAGCTGACTAATCCACAGAAGATATTATTTTGTTACTTGGAGTAACCTAAAATAATTATTGTGTCGTTTTCAATGAGCGTTGAGATGTGCGCTGGGAATTAGTGTGAGGATCCATTAACTCCTTTTCAATCAAGGAAAATGAAGTTGTGTCTGCAGAAATTATCAGGACAGGTGTGTTGTGCATGTTTGTTTGACAGAAGGGGCTGAGTAACCTGCGATGTGCTCTGAAGTAATTACTTTAAATTTGTTCTAGGTGCAATAAAACTCAAAAGGTCAAAGTTTGTTTGTGTTTGTGGAGAGAAGGAGATTGTTTAAAGCAAATCAAGCTGTGTACAGTGTCACAAGGTAAAAGTTGGACTGTTATTATATATGAATTTTGTATCATGAAGGTTATGTGTGTTATAACTGAAATATTTCCATCAGGTGTACAAAAGGTAGATGTCAATGTTGATCGTACTTCAAGTCTATGGATAGATAGGGCATATTGAGAATCAAACATGTTTGCTGGTTGTTTGGTTTGTAGAAAGGTTCCCAAGTGCAAACCATGTGTATCGGAGTGTGTGTAGCCTGTGGGTCTTGCCTTCTCTCATCGTTTAGTGTGACTGTAAGTACATAAATGCCGTTTTGAATAAATAGATGAAACAAACATCTGTTTTCCTCGTTGTTAGAGCTGAGAACTCTTGATGTCATTGTGCTTGTGAAAGGAAAATTATTCTTGACTTTATCGCTGCAATAAACTACTTGTCAAATTATTTTTTCTTAAAATTTTTAAAAGCTGTAAACAATATTTTCTGTTTTCATAATTATTGTATGTGCAAAGTGATAAGAAAGTTGGTGTCTATGGTACTATATTGATTTAGCAATAAAGTAAAGGAGTTTAACTTATTTTTCATTAAAATTTTACTTGGTTTTATTTTGTAAAAAATGAATTTCTGAAAGTATTCTTAAATTGACGAATGGTGACTTCTTGCTCAGATTGTCTGTCACTCAGCCGTGGCTTAAAGAGGGGGAAATTCCCGAAATATTTGCCTAAACTTTTTATTTATTTTACATCTCAGACCCTCAAAAAGAAATTCTTACAGCTTAAATAGTCATAACTAGGAAAAATTTTCATTAAGCTGAATGAATACCCAGACAGAAATGCCATATCTGGGTAACATATAAAAGGCAAGGAAGAAAACTAGACTATAACCAATAGTTCAGCAGTCAAAAAATTTTATTTCAATTTTTGCAATTTTGCTGCACTGGCTGCAGCTCTGCTAGCCTGCCTCTTAAGGCGGCGTCGCTCACTCTGGCTCATCATGGGCTCCTTGATCATGGGGCTGTCTCCTACGACAAGATGAACAATAATTAATTAATTTTAATGCCTATCAGTAATTGCTTTAAAAGAAAAAATGATGCACACCTTCACCCTCATCCTGCCCCTGCAGGTGACGAGACTGTCGGGCAGCCAGTAACTTCAGCCTCCTGCGCTCTTTCTTAGCTGCCTTTCTGTCCAGTGGCACAAAGGCTGGTGGTGGTAAAGGTGCTCCTGTTCAAACAGTAAAGATACATTATGTAGTTCTAATTTCTTCGCAGTAATGGAAACAGTATTATCTTTATTTGTTAATTTTATACGAGACCGCCACATCAACCAAAAGCAACAAACCCTAAAGTTTAGGGGATGCGTAAAATTTACTTCTTTTCACCTCCCATCAATAAACTACCAAGTCCTGGCCTGAGTTTCGACAACTTTTCGTCATCGATATCGATTTGACGTCGAATTCGTCTTTCAATTGATGACTGACTTTGCACTAAACCATACCCAGACACCTTTTATTTTTTTGTAAATTACGCGGTTCGCGCCTGTTGCGACGCAAAAGCAGAGTGCCAACTACGGCCTCGTGGGCTGTGGGAAATGAGGGAAGGGTCTGGGGACACAGCCGTCAGAAGTTGGCTAAACTGATTAGTTGTTTCGTCAACTTAGCATCCGGCGTGACAAAGTCAGATTCACTACAAGTTACCAATATTTTTTAAAACGATAATATACAAATTGACGGAGAATTGAAGTGCGCATGAGGCAGATAAAGCTTTCACACATTGTTATTGTTAATTGTGGTTTACTTCAGTGTGGCCTCTACCGGTGAACAATTAGCGCTAGACATGACATGCACGGTATTAGGTTAGGAAGTTATGAATAAAGAAGACCAAGTTATTAATTACAAATGGTCTGGCAAAAGAACAGAACGGGAACGCGTGTCGCAGATAGGGGCAGCAGTTCTGTTCTTTTTAGTACGACTAGTTATTATAATAACTGTTGGTGAACATACCGTTTTCTTGCTGTTGCAGCTCAGCAGGTTGTGGCAGTGGACAGATTGGAATTATCGGAGCACCACTGGAACTGTCAAGCCCTGAAGACAATTTAATTGCTATTGATATGACATGACATAAAAACCAATTTGTGTGTTTCATCATCAATAACAGAAAAAGGTAAGAATTCAAAAAAGTTAGGTAGAATTTAGTTGATATAGCTATATGTACTCTACATGTAAACTAACCGTTGTTTGCAGGTATCAGCCTCACCAGTGATGACTCCCACTGTTGTGGAGTTGTGTGTGGAGCAACGGATGAACAGCTTATTGTGGCTGGCTCTGAGAAAAGACTCGTGCCTAGGGAAAGATGTAGACAAGAGTTTGTTAAGCAAAAGTGCACACTACATTGACTTAAGATTCATGGAATGGATTATAGAAAAAGTCAGAATTTAAAAAGTGAGTAATCATGTTCATATATGCCTACTACATATATACCAACCTATATTTGTAGATGACTGCTCCAAATCTGGTGAATCC